GTTATGTTCTCCGCAGGGAAGTACATCGTCGCAGATTTGCCCACAAGCCCATCCGCTTTCGTACTTCGTATCTAAACATCTTCTTGAAACCGTTTCTTTGCCACAAAAGCAAGGAAGTGAAGGCCCCATATGAGCGCAAGGTGGACACGGTCCAGCATGACACATAAGATCACATGGATGAGGACAGTGTCCGATCCGCTTTTTGGAACAACTCTGCCCACAAGAATGTGGTGGTAGCCCAGCTACTGATCGTGGTTCAATCTCCTTCTCACACCAACAAGTATACGATATTGGTAAGTCTTCTTTGGGCAGGTTACAACCAGGACATCTCCATTGTCTCGGTGGTGGCAATTCTCCATTTTCAACTGCTCGTTGCTGATGTGTAGATACTTCATTCTTCGACCACCTTTTGACACATGATAAATGGAGAACCGACCAACAACTTTTACAGTTCCATATCTTAGAATTTGGTAAAACTTCGTTGGTACAAATTGCGCACTCGTACTGGCCATTTGTGATATCTTCGTGTGTTCGAGTGGCAAGATCTGCGGCTTGCGATTTCGACATTCGACGTGCGCGCGGAGCTCGAGAGGGCCCAGGTCGGGTGGCAATAGGATGCCCAGGTGTAAAAGCTGGAGCATCTCCAGCGAAGGAGCCAGCGTCAGATGTAGGATCAGTATGCGAGTTTGAGGTAAGTTGCCCTCCAAACACTCTTCCATTGGCCATGGGCTGTCCGCGACCTCCCCCTCTTCGACCGCCTCGTCCAAACCCACCTCTTCTGCCATTACCGCCTCCTCTATTGTTTGCGTTCGAATTTCGTGAATTCGACGGGGCAGGAGGATTTGAGTCTGGCAGTGGTGCCACAGAAGCCGGTCTGAGAGCTAAAGGACCATTTGGTACTTGTGTCGTTAGATTTGGAGTAGCGTTTGTGTTTGCATCTGCTGGTGCAGATCCATTGTTCCGATGGCCACCCCGTCTTGGGCGACGAGTTCGTGTTCGAGGAGGACGATTGGAGCCAGAAGTTTGAGACAATTCTGCAGTGGCCATGATATGTGAATATAACGAGCCTGTGATACAACCAGAAATTCTCAATAGTTGGTGTGCTAAAATCGATTATTGACCAGTGGCGGGGCCGTTATTTTTTTTGTTTACTGCGATGCAATACAGACAGATTTAAGAGAGCTTGCAGATACGAAACTTTCGTAAAATAATAAGCAATTGCGCCTCAAGATATATGGCGACTTCAGACAAGAAAAGGAATAAAAAGATTAAATGGTAGAAAAATAGATGAAAATGCTTTTTGCTTGCAAGATACGGAAGTCGCACTCTTGTATATAGAGGGGAATAAGGCTGATTTTATTGTGGCAATCCATGAGCTCTTTATCGACGCTAAACTTATCAACTAGCGCTCTTCTGGACTCTTCGTATAGATTTGTCAACTCCAAGACTCATACATGAGAGTTGACTCATACTCGCTCATTATCTGGAACATTGTAACATTTGCATTGCATCATTGTATGAGATGACTCTGAAGAATCGAATGTGTAAAACATCTTGATTCATGAGTCGAGACTGGGTACTACAGACTTATTGTCGCAATCTCTGATACGAGTGAAGTTGTATCAAATCTTGGAACTCAACAGCCTCGCGCTACGGCTGGTCGAGGTCTTTATTCTTAACCTTACTCGTAGGTAACTAGGCTAGCTATATGCTGACGACCACGCTTTATTGTTGGTTTTGTCGGTCATAAAAATATGTACTGTTGCTTCGTAGAGCTACATGGCACAAGTGACTTGGTCTCTCTACTGACAAAGATCTCAATGAGAACTTAGGTATTTATTCCTTCTCCAACATTCGAAGGAAGTTATCCACCATGGCGGTGCATAGGTAGATACAACATAGACGCCTGAAGAAAAAAATATCGATATAGCCTCAGTTGTGCAAAGGAATCGCACTCAGCGGTTATCTTAACATGTACATATAAGTATGATACCTACTTAAGTAGTTTCTTCTGTTGGCATTCATTTCCTACCATTTTTCTCTTCGTAATTCGACACGATGACATATAACTAATAAGCTTAGTTGACTCTTTCTTCAACATCTCACCCCTTTCGTTCTCGACTGAGCTGTCTTCTCGCCACTTCCTTATCAATCTATCAATATCCAAACACAACTCCTCACTCACATTTAAGATTCCAACTTTGAGTTGAAATCTTTCAATATGCCTCACTTTACCACTAACACAGATTACAACCTATCTAATCCCAAATCTTCCTCTTCTCTATCGTCATCTCAATCCCTCACAACCTTCTCACTCTTTCCTTTTCTCCCCCCAGAACTTCGTCATCAAATATACACCCATTGTCTCCCCTCCCCTCGCATTCTCGAACTGGAATTTTCTCCCCCCTCTCAAACATTCGTTCCTATCTACTTTTCCTATTCTAGCATTCCCGTTCTTCTCCATCTCATCTCCGAATCACGTTCTTTCGCTCTACACTACTACCAATACATCCCTTCTTTAAATCTCTGGTTTAGTCCCTTTAGGGATAGTTTATATTTTCGGATAGATGCTAGCCAAGTTTACAATCCCTACTATTCGGCCTGGGTTGAGAAGCTAGAGAATTTGTTAAGGCTGGGGGAGAATTATGATGGATGTGGATACGGGCTGCAGCGATTAAGATATTTAATCATTGGAGACGAAGCTTATTCTCACCTGACCATCTCATCCACTGTTCTCGCTTCGCTTCGTGATTTGAAGGAGATAGGGGTGGTTACGAAAGAAGAGACACTGCCTCTCTGGCCGGAAAATGAAGTCATTTTATTTTCAGATAGGAAGGCGAGACCGAGGAGGGGAAAATACCATAAAATCGACGGCCCATCCATCAATTATTCTCATGTTCGGCGGCGCTTCAAAGGTGTGCTATTGGGTAATTCAGACGGATCGTTTGTAAGGGAGGAGAAGAGGGACCCTTTTGCGGTTGGCTGGTGAAGGATTTGATCTTAATGCGCAAACCCTTCGCCGGGAATAGGTTATATTCTTTTTATCTAGTTATCTAAATTCGTTGAAATTTTCACATAATATTCATTATCGACTGCAAACTGCAAGTTTTGATTTGTGGATATACTAGATTTCCAAGCTACAACTCCAGGCTCGATTCGATCCAAATGGGTATTTTCTCGTTCTCCAATCTCCCACCAATATCCGAAATCTCGATCTGTTATCATGATACATTTCTTTTTTTCATCTCTCGTTCATTTTCATCCGGCTCTCGTGTTTGCAATATCAAGAATCAAGATATCTGTTGCTCCAACGGCTGTCAAATCATCCATGACCACGGCGATCTTCTTCTTCTCGACCATTGAACTAACAGCTACCCAGCCTTCCTCCTCCAAAGCGTTGATCGTGGGTGCTCGCTTTCCGGGGGTGATTTTGACTGCATCTGGGAGTGCTGTTCGTTGAACGTTGTACTGGCACAAGACGTATTTTTGTGCAGTGATGACACCTCGAATACGAGAGGCAATAAGATCTACCAATGCTGGATTTGAGGGTCTTTTGGATTTTACGAGAATTGCTGTACTCGAGACGACGGTATCGATAGCCTTTAATCCTGCTGCCTTCATGGTTTCACCCGATTCTAATAACTTATTAATACGAAACTTCTTGAGGTCGATCATGTTGTTCTTTTACTCACCAACCAGATCCACAATTCCATCAGCGACACCAAGAGCGCATGCAGCCTCAACACTGCCGCTGAGCTCGATGATCTTGGTCTTCAATTTGCGCCCGGATACGGCACCACCATCTGCCTCAGCTTCCAACGCTCGGAAGAATTCCTCAGATAGACTGACGAAACTGGTACCAATATTCTTTCCAATGAGATCTGATGGCTTCGCATATGGCCCCTTCTCTGGCACTTGTACTTGTAACTTACAAGCACCAAATCCCAAATCCATTATCTCCACACATCCTTCTTCCTTACCCTCTTCGACAGGGGTTGATGTTCCTGATTCTGACTTAACTCTCCTCTCGGTTTCAACTCCTGTGGCATGTTCTGCAACTGTGTCCCGTCCAGTGATACCAATATCTACTCTACCCTCACCAACGAACGTAGGAATATCGGCCGCGGGAAGAAAGACGAGCGCAATTGGTAAGTTCTTGACCAATGCTATGTCGAGTCTTGATTCTCTTCGAAACTGAATATCGGCACCTTCGAGCAAATTGAGTGCTGCTTGTAATAGTCTTCCCTCTAACGATTCAATCAGCCATCAATCTCGAATATAGGATTCGGCTCCGTTGGTGTCATGACTCACTTTTTGGTACTGCGAATAGCAATCTACCTTCTAAGCTTTTCTGATCGTTAGTGAAAGGTTCATAATCTTTAGACTCTTCGTCTTCAATGTACAACATCTTGAGAACTTTCATTGTAGCTTCCTTGAACGGTAGGAGTTGCTAGGTTCTATATGCCTAAGAATGCGAAACCGACAGCTCCAAACCGTTTAGATAGGCTTCAATGGCAAGCTCAAGAGCCAACAAGGTAAAAAAGGACAATTCTTACTGATTCACTAAATCCATTCTGTTGAGGATGAGGGTGAGGAGAGCAAGCAGTTTGTTTCTGTACAATGTGAAGATATAATCACTCCGATTGCGGGGTATTCACTTGAATCACAAGCAGAAACGGAGGATGTTGTGTTCGTAAATGGTAAGAAATGTACGGCTTGGATAATTTTAAATATATTTGAAGCAAGGAGAGTCACGATTATTGGATAATATGGCAAAGGGACAAGACTTCACTTTTATTAATATGACTCGGAGATGTTTGGCGCAAACTCCATTATTTAAAAAAAAGTCACCTAGTACTCAACTTCATCATTCTGCCCCACGTGTAACACCTGGTACTTTCGGTGGTCGGCGTCTTCTCACAAGCCACTAGTCTTAATCAATATTAGCGCGGAAATGCTTCAATTTCGACGCTAAGAATATTAACGAGAATCTCTTGCCCTAAGATTCTGCGAACAGGCAAAAAAATATCACCAAATTCACGTCGACCAGTAAGCCCCGAGTCAATTTATCAACCATATCCCAAAATCCAAGCGCATTTATCCTGTGAGTGGCTCAGGAGCTTATCTACGGTTCCAAGGTTCTAATAAAATTCAGATCGCAAAAATGGATGCATCAAAGGTCCCCGTCAAGCTCGTTAAGGTCACCCGTGTTTTGGGCAGAACCGGTATGTCAGAATTGGAGAATCTATGTTTGCGGAGTTGAAAGGAGGCAATTTTGACAAAAAACTAGGTTCCCGTGGAGGTGTTACTCAAGTCAGAGTTGAGTTCATGGACGACACCACCCGTTCCATTATCCGTAACGTCAAGGGCCCAGGTACGATATCACGATTATTTTTATTCCCCCCAGATTTTTTATTTCGGCAGAAAATACTCGAGAAAGAAATGTTAGGAAGCTAGGGAAGGTGTAGGCTAACATATCGAAATAGTCCGTGAAGACGATATCCTCTGCTTACTCGAATCTGAGCGTGAGGCTAGAAGATTGAGATAAATTGTTGGTCATAGTTATCGAATGATGGGGGCATTGGGAATTTCTTCATGCATTCAGGTGCAGGCTTTTGCTACGGCTATGGGCTGGATGTACGTTTGATGAAAATGGATGGATCAGTTCAAGGAAATACTTTCACAAAATAACACGATCGATGAATTTCCTGGTACCTTGATTCTACGACAATGTGCAAATCTTGAGAACGTGAGAGAATTATCCTTGTGGCCTCGGGGTGATCTGGAGGATTTGGATTACGGACTGCCGCAATTTCACACCGTTTTTCGAGGGACTGGAATACAATCATGAATTTGGAGAGTCTAGATTCATGGGGAAGATGGAAGTGCGACTTTTTGCATTGCTATTCACTTCTTGTTCAGCGTTCACCCCGCATTGAAGTATGGAATCCAAACACCATGATTCCAAATTTAGGTCGGGGGAATTCAAGCCAGTCCCCCTACAATCCACTTAACTTCCATATTTTCCCATTCACTTCTCCCAGTGCACCTCGAAGTCTTCCTTTGACCCAATTCATTATTCCAGACAGCAGCAACAGCTTTTTTTTTTACACAAGAATACATATTTTTTTCTCTGCTACTGCCAAATCCCATACCAAATTTCGATCTACCTATGAGTAATTCCACCTGAAAGTTCATGGCTATATGCATATTCTGATTTTCGCGGTTAAGCTATCTTTGCGACATTTTGTTGGACTTAAAGTGATGTTTGAATTTGTTGAATTGATTCAACCACTTGGATAATTCACTCTCGATCAATCAATCAACAAGTCCAAAGTCATAATATTCTATTTGGCTCATAACACAGCAACTTACAATTCGTATTTACATGCTCCTCAATATAGCCACCGTCGTCTCCTCTTCAAAGGACATACGAATCAAACCAAACAACAACCTCAACTCAACTTCGTATTTAAGTTCAAACTAAAACGAATTCCAACAAATCCACGAAAATGTCTTCCCACCCTTTTCCTCACGCTATTACACTTTCCCAATCCTCTTCTCAAGAATTTGATGGATCTCAACAACCTCGACCAGACTCTCCACCTCCACCTCCGTCACTTCCTAACACAAACTACGCAATGGTAAACCCCATACAACATTACTATTCCTCTCTTATATCTTCTCCTCAACTGGGGTCTTCGCCTCAATCAGTTGTGTACGCCCCGCTCCCATCACAACTAGAAGTACAATCGCAGGAAACGCAGACCCAACTACAAGAATCCCTCGCTCCACCCACAACATCTCCCTTCTCACGCCAAAAACAACAAGCACTTCGAAATACCACCTTACGCACTCAACCCGACTCTCAACCAGAATCCCATCATCTCCTCTCAACATCCACGTCGCCCGCTTTCCAAACCGAACATCAACAGATACTGAATACACCATACGCTCCGGAATTGAATTACAAATCCATCGCATCCTCAACTCAATACGCAGTTTCAACCCAATTCCTGGTTTCACAACTCGTCCCTTCTCTTTTCTCTTCCCCGCATCACCTACACTCCACTCTTCCTCGCCATACACATCTACATCCACTTTCGCTTCTTTTTCCACACCCTCCTCTTCCTCTTCCGGTCCTCACTCGGATTTGGATTCAGATTCAAATCTAGAAGCAGGCATTGTAGACAATAGGATAAACGAATTGTCATGGGAACAACACACTCAAGAACTTGCGGTGCAGAGGGCGCATCGCATGTGCGCTTGGTTTACGGGGGTTTTGCTTGGGGTGTTGGGGGTGGTGAGGGTCGTGCGGTGGGTGGTTTACGGATGATGGTGTAGGAGGGGTGGTGTAGGAGGGGTGGTGTAGGAGGAGGTGGAGGGGGGGAGGGAGAGGGGGGAGAGTATGTGACATATGGTATACCAAGCGAGATGTGGGGAAAGATAGTAAGTAGAGTAGAGCAGAAGAGAGCAGAACATCTCTTTTTCTCTGATATAATATACCAAGCATGATGTGAACCACGCGAACAAGAAAATGCGGGAAGGGGATCAGAGCTCCGCGCACATGCAATCAATCAAAGTCTAGAAACGACGACGCATTGATTGGGAGGGATTATCTATGTATGCATGTACAGAGAGGAAAGAGGAAAGAAAGAAAGAAACCAAAAGCGCTTTCTCACTTTCTTGTCTGTGGACGATATCGGGATGTAGATAGATAAATAGATAGATAGATGAATATAAACAGGAAGCGGAATTTGATTTGGGATATTACAAAAAATGAGGATATCATCTATCGAGATGAATGAGAAAGAGCAGTTGAGATTCGAGTTCACTGTAGAAGAATATCACACAGTTAATTATGCTATTATACGAAAATCACATACGTCTTGTTGTATATACGTACATGCAAGACAACTATTTCCATGCTATGTTTATATTGAGTTACTCTCACCACAGATTCTCAGAAGCTAGATCTGAAATACCAATTTCGGAACCATTTTCACAGAACGAAGAGATGTATTGTTTACGTTTGATTGGTTGATTGATTGATTGATCAAATGCTTGCTTGCTTGATCGATCCCACTAGTATCCCCTCATATTACCACATCCGACTTCCTACTCATCGCACATCAAGCCCACACACCACAACCATTAATGCGATATCCTGGATCCAATCAGCCAGACATATGTACCTAGAAGTACATTCAAACATCAATTCAATCCCATGCATTTAGTCCTGTTTAGCCCAGCCCTTTCGAACCCATCCCATTGCATTCCACAAATCTCGTACACTTATTTATGCCCATCCATCCATTCCGATTCCAATCCAACCTAGAAGTCAAACCCGCACGCAATGCCCTCATATACATGATTAACAGCATAAGCATAAGCATAAAATCCAGCAGATGAAAACGTAAACACGATAAATGTATGAACAAGAAGAACAAGAACAAAGACAAGAACGAGAAGAAGAATGGAAAAGGCATGAGAAAAGTACAAGTGCAAGAACAGAAACAAACAATCAACAACAAAATCTGCAATCCCAAGCATACATCTCAGAAGAAAGAAGAAAATATGGTATCACAATGCTCCTCCTCTCCTTTCTCCTTTCTGCTCCATCTCCGTTGCGCACCCGCCCTATCTGTTGCGCGCCATCTTAATGTGATACATGTTCACATAAACAAGACAATCTCTCCTCTATCATTCTTCTTCATTCTCAAACTCCTCCAGAGCTCCTTCTCCTCGTCCCCTTTTCCCAGTGCCAATCCAGCCGCAGTTCTCTCGCGATGATATCTCTTCAATGCTTTGTTCATTGAAACACCCTTCTCGCTATTGGGACCCTTGTTTACCATGCTCATGAGAAGTTCTGCGCGGGGTTTGTAGACGATCATTTGGTTTTCGCCAGGGGAAGAATCGCCAGCGCCATTGATCGGTTTGTATTCGAGCATCTTGGGTCTCTCAGAAGACTTAGTACGATGCTTGTGCTTGCGTTTCTTGGGTCGATCTTCCGAGTGCTCGCGGGAAGGCTGGCGAGTGGTGATCAAGGACATCAAATTGCTTCCGAATGTGTCATTACGAGTGCGAGCCCGGCTGGCGCGTTTGGATTCCTTGGTCTTCTTGGGTCTTGCGCTAGGCGATTCCTTCTCAGCATCGGCACCGGAATAGTCTGGCGATGGGGGAAAGACTGAAGGACGGGTTTGAAGTTTGCCAATTTCGGCGGTCAATCCTGAATGTAGAACTGGTGGCGCATCATTCATTTGAACGTCGCCTTCGCGGGATGACGTGTCAACATGCAAGCGTTTGCGCTTCTTGTCCTTCTTCTTCTCATCTTTCTTATCCTTTTTCGATTTTCCCTCATGTTCCTTGGTTGGTTTCCACTCAATCGCTTTTGGCGCTGGTGTTTCAAAAGGTCCGTTGGCCGGTACTGGTCCAGAACCCCATTCGACAAGATTGGTAAGGCCTGGACTATCTGCTGCGTTTACTCGTACGAGATCCGTGGAAGGTTTCTCCTCTACTTCGGAACTATCTGCATTATCGCTCATGGGTTCATCACGAACTTGTTGCTCAGGCTCAGAATCGTTCATAACCTCATCAGCTGCGGGGAGATCCAATCGCGACGCATTGGGTGTTGGATCCACGAGGAAATCAAATACATTGACGGGTGCTGGCGTTGAAGGGACAGCTTCTGGTACTGGGGCTGTAGCGTGTTGCGAATTGTCGTACTCATCTTGCGCATCTTCGACGTATGCGTTGTGGGCGGGTGCGGGTTGAGAAGTATTATGCGCATTATTCTTTTGATTGTTTTGTTGCTTTCCTTTCTTTCCTTTACCCTCTCCTCTGTATAGCGCACCTTGGTATTTTTGCGCCTCGCTCATACAGCTCTTAATTGTTGTTAGCAAACGATGCCCCGCGTCTAATTCATGTTTGTTTACATACCGTATGCGAGCGATATTCTAGGCCCTGAAAATGTACCATGCAATCCAGGCAAGTATATGATGCCCCGCGACATTGATTTCGATGAGGGTCGAGTTTCTTCTTCGTAAGGACGTCTCCGCAATTCTATCGATTGTTTCTTGTTAGACAAAAGCTTGTTTGAGTTACCATAGTAGATGTAGGTAGAAATGTAGGTGCAGGTGTCGGTGTTTCCATAGAGTGTTGGAGTCGTAGGGATAATAGACGTACCTCACAACTGAATGATACCATGATGATATATGCAAGTTTTCCTTTTCTTTCCCTGCAGGAGTCTCTTGGATTGTTTGAGATTTTGAAGTACTTGTAGGGAGAAATTATGAGGTAGAAGATTGACAAGAGTTTTTTCCTCTTTTCTTTTTTTTCTTCTTTTTTTCTTTTTGGCGAAGAATAGATAAGTTTGCGAGTTTGTTCTAGTATCGCGGGGGGGGTAGAAAGGAAGTAGCTAGCTTTTGGAGAATCTGAATAAAGAAACTTGAGATTGAGATGGTAATGTTGCGTAGGTAGGTATATTATGTAGGTATACTCTGTAGATAGGTATGTCAAGTGTTTGATGTGAAACTCGGGGGAGGGATGAAGAGTGTTTCTAAATCGAAATATTTCCTCTTTGGGTCAAGATGCAAGCCTCTTTTGTGCTGTTGCTTCGATATTTGACCGGGGGGAGGGAAGAGTGGAGGGGTATTTTGGGATGAGATGGTATGGGATGGTTGGTATGTAGGTAGGTAGGTAGCGGTGGTAAGAAGGAGGGTAGGAAGGTAGGAGAGTAGGAGAGTAGGAGAGTAGGAGAGTAGGAGAGTAGGAGAGTAGGAGGGTAGGAGGGTAGGTAGGTATCAGGTATTGGTTAGATATAAGTCGTGGAACGGTTGTGCAATAAATAAATATAAATAAACAAATTCGACCCTTAAAATACTTCTCCCATCTTTTTCACACTTTTTCGACCTTGGACCTTGACCCTTGCACCTTGGACCTTGGACCTTGGGATATTTTTGTGGGATTCATTCAAGGCTATGGATGCAGGTGTACAGCTCGCGCGTTAGTATTTTTGATTTTTAGGGTTGCATGAAAAAAGGTGATGGGTGTGTGAATGGAGTGAATTGAGGGAAAAAAGATGAAAAATGTTTGCTTGGAATTTAGTTACGCTTTTCTTCCTGCTTCCTTGACTGGTGGAGATGCCGCCCTTCCTGTCCTTCCCCTTCCCCTTCCTCTAGAGCGAAAGAGCGAAAGAGAGAAAGAGAGAAAGAGAGAGACTAGAATACGCCCGGAAGAATGTTCAGAACCATATCTGTACTACTGGTGTGTCCATGTATCTAAGATACCTTTGGCTTGCGACACTTGCTGAGGTACACAGTGATACCAAAGTACAGAAGTACAACAAAAAGGTCCACGATGTCTACAGTTTGTATTATTCATTGAACAATGTTCATTTGCTATTCATCCCCCCCCCAATGGCTTATATCATATTGGATTGTCATGGTAAACAACAAGGTGGAATCCGAGAAGAGGAATGTTCATTCACATTCATCACGACACGGCATGCAACATGCAACATGCAGCATTGAAAATTCTCTGGCTTTGGGCGTCAATTTCAAAGGAAGATACTTTCTGACCTTACTACCTAGGTAGGGTAGGTATCTTCATACGAGCACGAGCAAGTACTGTCATTGGGTCGCCTCATGTATCCTTATGTGATGGCCTCAATTCTTCTGCTTTGAATTCCTTACTATTGGGCACCGTATCCAAATCCAAATCTACCTTACCGGTACCTTACCTTACCTTAGACACATGAGAAGACATTCTTCATTGGATCATTGGATGGTCCCCTTATTTCGCCACATATTGGGATCCCAATAGTTGAGATCTTGCTAGGGAGGAAACGTGAGATCGGGTATTCTAGGCCATTACAGTAGCTCGATTCGATTTTTGGACCCCCATATGTGTGAGTGAGTGATTGTTGGCGAGATAATGAAGGAGACCGAGTACGCTGCCTCGCTATACACTCACCAGAGGAAAGAAAAGGCGGAATCGTGGGAACATATCCTCGATGGAGGGAGTTTGTATGAGAGAAACGAGTTTGGCTTGGAATTCAGCCCATGAATCAAATCCCACTTACTATCTCAAGACGTGTGTATCATCTGGGACAAATTCCCCTCGAGACCCCCCAAGACATGAACCACATCCATCACACCCTACTCCGTATTTCGCACTCAACTCATCACCCTTGTTGTATCCCAAACTGTGAGGCACTGAGGGTGCATCCATCTTGAAAGATTGTGGCTCAGAATGTGACTGGATAGTTGTACCACTCTGATATCGTGTACTCCCCCATTGATGCATCTTCCACCCAGATATAATCTAATCACGACAACATTACAATGGTGTATGCGAAACTGACATTTGTACGACAAACACATATGAGATATATCTATCTGATTCCAGATGTTAGTCCGCCCTATGAAAGGACAAATCGCCTGGTCCGAAATTCCTTCATAGGTCGGTCGGTCTACTCTCCGAGTTTCTCCCCCTTCATCTTGCCGTGTCCATTTTGCATTGATGATGTTGATTTGATGATTTGATGATTCTATAGCCACGATTCCCATTTACTTCATACAAGAAGTTTGCCTTTAGGTTGATACATGACCAATGTATACTTTTCATGCTATGATTAGCTGACATTTGAACTCGTGCTTACCCGACGATCGCATACATAAATTACTCGCAGGATTGCGCAACTATATGAACAAAAATCGATGTCCGAAGGTTTGAACCTGGTACTTATGATATAGGTTTGGAGGTATCCAGTTACCTTGTTTCTAATACCGTCGTTGTCTAGTCCGATGCAAGTATCACTAACTAAATGCAAGTCACCCTTATTAATATTTGAGTATCTGGATCTCCGACCGACCCCGAGGGTATGGAGCATTTGATATGTTTCTTGTGGAGTTGATGGAAGGAGACGTGAACGGATTTGCTGGTTCTTGCTGCACTCCTGGAAATTCTGAGACCACAATGGGATTTTGATTATACAAAAGTCCTCGGTACATGATAACATTTTGGCGGTCAATCATCGCTCCTTCACTCCAAAAAAGGGTCTAACGGGGGGTTCAACGGTTCATAGACATATACATACTTAGACCTTTCGAGACGATTCATTCATTATACTACTTGCTCTCTAGTTCTACTATTCTACTACTTTGACCACTTCTACCAACTCTACCTACTCTACCTACTCTACTCTAGTACCATTGCACTTTTGTTATTCATGAAACACATCAATCAATCACGAGCTTTCACTCACCCCAAACTAATAGCAAAACATCAAAACATCAAATTCTAAGAAGAGATTCAGATCCATCTACCAATTACATCAAGACTATGTGTTACTACTACTACTGACAATTTCAATTTAACTCATCATCACGATTCACAACACCTCTTCTCATTTCTATTGGAGGAAGATATTTGACCATTTTGGCTCCTTAAGAAAACGCATTCCTACCCTACCTACCACCACCACCACCACCACCACCACTACTACTACTACTATTACTCTCCCCCTTGAAATACAAAAAGATGTCTACACAAGATTCATCGGGTGGAGGTTATATTGAACAGGTAACTACTGTTACCAGTTCTATCGCAGGTTACCTCAAATTCCCTGTCCTTGTGTCTTCGGTACATTTTCTTTCACACC